ATAATCCTACATTTACTCTAGTGGTTAAAGTAAAAAAAAACGAGGGGAGAGAGAAACAGGAAGAGACAACTCGAGGAGAAAAGTTTTAATTCAGTAATTTCAAAAATAGAAGCATCCTTGTAGGAGAAATAATCCTACATTTACTCTAGTGGTTAAAGTAAAAAAAACGAGTGGAGAGAGAAACAGGAAGAGACAACTCGAGGAGAAAAGTTTTAATTCAGTAATTTCAAAAATAGCCACTGGAAGGTGTCTATTTTCAATTGAGACTACTCCCTGAAGGGGGTGTTGAGAAGGATATCTGCAAAAGAGATCTTTTTTTAAGTTCGGTCACTTTTGAGGGTTAGTCCTCGTCCTGGATTGGCTCAGATTCTCGCGTTCTTTTTTTCTTTCTCTGGAATTCCATAGACAGTAATTAAGGAACCGGAGGCCAGCGGGAGGTCAGGGAGCCTTCCTCAGTGAAAACAGGGATTGTTGGCCACGCACAACACTCCCTTTTTTCCTTGTGGTGAATAGGAGATTTGCTTAGAGCTGATGACTTATGCCTTTCTTGCAAGTTATGCAGTTAGCAAGCGACTGGGGAATCAGTCAGCAAGCAGAAAGAAGCTAATTGAATGCAGTGTCTTCGCTTCTTTCTCCTGCGGATACTAAGCTGTGACGGTGGAGCCTGCCTGCCTGGTCATGTAACTCCAGAGGAACATGTTCGAAAAGTGCCTGATCGTAACTGTGAGATTGCGGCGTTGCTGCAGCAAGACTGAGGACGCTCGCAGAGTGGGGAGGGGGTGGGGGGTCCCGGACCTCCTCAGAGTCACCCCTTAGGCCTGCTAAATGCCGAAGCCGGTAAGTCGCTGAATGAGTTTAATGTGAAAGGAAGCATGCATTTTCCATTTGCTCCAAGGAAAAGCTTTCTAATTGCTCCTGCCTGTGATGCTTCTTTCTTTTCTTCTCAAATTCCTCTAGATTTTTTTCGTCTCCTGCTTACTCCCCTGCTTTGTAACCCTGAGCATTCTTGCCTGGTGGGCTCACCCAATGATAATGTGGAGCTTTTGGAGGAAAGGAGTGAATGTTATTTTAAGAGTGCAGAGGATGAGCGTACACGGGTTGGAGCTCAGTTGTGAATTGTGGAGGCTTTTCGTGTGGAGGGCTTGAATTCAGACAGTGTCGCACATTGCTTTTCAGAAGCCTACAACTGACTGGCTTCCTTCTCTTAACTTTTAACACTAATCCCATGACATTTTGGACCTAGGAAGTTGAAGCATATATATCTGATGATGCACTAGGTTAAAAAGAAAGAGGGTGGAAATCAAATGTTTCTATTTACAATATTGTAAATTCACTTTTCCACATCCTTTGGGGGGGTTGGGTAAGTTGCCTTTTCTCTTGAAGGTTTGGGGGTGGGTACACAAATGATTGAGTTCACCTTCTCCTTTAGAAGATGATCAAATTAAAGTTTATTTTAATACTCTGACCCTAGGGCAGGACAGGGAGGGGAGGTGACACATCCATGTTTGAATGTGTGTGAGGATATACTTTTATTTTTCACATTAGTTTATTTAAGACCCATTCTATAATACAAGGGCACTTCGAAAAGTTCATGGAAAGATTTGAATTATCTTTTAATTCTATTATTCCATGAACTTTTTGAATTACCCTTGTAGTTGTGAGCCTGTTTCTTGGAATTAATCATTTAGTTTACATACAATGCATATTTTCTTTATCTTGTACAGAGTCCTTTCAGGTGGGAAGACTTCTTTTGAAATATAATATTTTAATTTAAAATTTTACATGTGTTTCTTAATTTTAAAAAATTCTCAAACTCCCTTGCCTGATGGTGTATTTCCTGAATAAAAAGACACGACATGTTATTTTTCAGCATTTGGGAAGTGGCACATGCTTATGTAAAAAGAGAAACATAGCATGAGGAATTTAAGCTTTACTCCCCAAGTTTAGAAGGAATGCAGGACGTTTACAGCATCTTTATGTTAAAACAGCTGGAGAGAATTTTTTAAAGGCAAGTATTTCGCAACTCTTCTTCCTCTGGACTCAGGAGGAAGCAAGAAGTCAACACCTCTCTGTCAGTACAAAGCATCTTTGGGATACATTGTTGAACTCAAGTAACTTCTGGGTGGACTTAAGAGGAAGTTTTCTATTTAAAATATACACACGCACATATGTTTCTTGAATGGCATGGGTTTTACCTTACATTTTTCTTCATGTAAATTGTGCTGCATCTGTTTTGTCTAGTGTCCAAAACATGATAACACAGAGGAACTTCTTGGTTGTCATGGTTTGTGATTTGTCAATGGCAAACACCTCCAAAACCTTCTTTTTTTAAAAGAAAAATTAAAATAACATCAGTTCAAAGTTCTAAAGCGCTGATGTTTCTCAAAAATAGATGGAACATGTGAAAGCAATTAAATAAATACCTGGAATATGTTATTTTTCACCACAATGAATCTGTGCAGAGGAAAGTAGGGCTTTGTGAAGGGGGCACTGCCTTTAAATCTGTTGTCCTAGTTGATTTTGATGTTTTTACTGGAAAGGTCACTCGAATGTGCCTTTTCTACATGTGATTTATAGCTTTATGGAGTAAGATTTTTATATTACTTCTTTCTGTATCCCATTTCTCTTTTTACTTCCACCTACCCCATACACACACACCACCACCACTACCAGCAACAACAAACTAGGCATGAGGTATATATACATCAGTGATTTTTTTTTTCCTTTTTGTCTTTTTTACTGACCGGTAACGGGATCACAACCCTCGGTGTCGCGCCCGCACCGGGGACCGGCAATGGGATCGCAACCCTCGGTGTTGCGCCCGCACCGTGCTCACCCAGTGAGCAGGAACCGGTCTCCAATGGGATCCGAACCCCCGGCGGAAGCGCTGCCGGCGCACTCTCCAGTTCACCACCGGGCCGGCCCTACATCAGTGATTTTTATCCTGCAGTACAGCTTCCTATATTTTGATCATGGACATTCTGTGCCTATTTCATTTTCATTTGATTTCAAAATTTCTTATCGTGAAATGGTTAGATATGTATTCTAGGTTTGTCCCATTGGTATGTACAGAGACTTTCTGTTATATAGTGTTGTTTCTTCTATTAGAGTTGTGTGGCTTTTGAGCTACATCAAGAGGGCAGAATGTTTTTAAATGTTTACCGTCATTCCATGCACTGTGGGTTATCCAGGTGCTGATTACCCAGAATGAGGGTTAACCAAGTTCTCATTCCTTTGGTTGACCACTCTGACCCTTTCATCACACACCAACAATTCAACCAAGTAAAAATGAAATTCAAACCAGACAATACCATTAGGTATTAGGAGCTATATTTATTTTAGCGTTTTAAATCTTAGACCTAATTGCCAGCATTCAATGTAACCTCCCTCCATTACCTGGGGATCCAGTTTCTATTGTTCATTACCAGGTAACCAGTAGTTGACTTTAATTCTGAAATCTGAATGCAACTTTTTTATCTAGGAATTTTAGAGAAATCGAACATAGGTATTGGTACACTTCACAAAAGGGAATTCTGAGAAATATTCCTGTCCTGATGACTTGCTGATGATAGGTTTATAATAATCAGTCATGAGCGGGTGAATGGTTTGCTTACAGACACATAATGGCTCCAAGCTGGGAGCCCCAGGGTGAGGACGAGAGAGCAGGAAATGATTTGTTTTTGTCCCTTATAAAGTACCATAGTGCTAAGAAAATATTTGTGGACTCACAATGTGCAGCATTTTTCTACCTAAGTAATTATTATAATCTCCGCCTCTTTTCCTCTTAAACTGTTCTCTGCTAGCTCTTGCTTACCTATTTTATTGTCTATAAAATTGGGATTAATGAGAGCTGTTCTTGGGGGTCAAAGTTTCCACATGAGACTCATGTTTAGCAACATAGTTTGTTTGGGTTTTGTTTTTTAATTCGAGGCATTTCTCTCCCTACTGTTTCATGTGGGAGGTTTGAGGAAACGGAGAGAAGGTCGTTGTCCGGATGTGCAGGATTAGCTGGGATTGCTCAGGAGCTGGCCGGGGTGCGCCGCGGTCGTGCGCTCAGGAGTGCGGGGCCCCCCGCCAGGCAGCAGGAGCACTTAGTTTGGAGACCTCTTTTGCTGTTGCCTATTTTAAACAGATACAACAGAGGATGCCGCATATTGAATGTTGGAGCTGACTTGGAAGTGAAACCCTCATTTTGTTCACAAGGAAAGGATTGTTTTTAGCCTGGGTCACTGCAGCAGAGAGAGGATTTTTTTTTCTCTCTGTAATGTTTGATACTTGAGGGAAAACAGCTGGGCCTGAGCATACTTGAGTCACTGCAAAACGGAATGGGATGCTGGGGAATATGGACTGTACTGTATGGCTGAAAAGGTCAGCTTTTTCCCTTGTCTCTCATGGAGGAATGTGGGGTCTGTCCTCATGCTTGCCTTGGGAGCCCTTGGCAAGAGCTGGGAAAGGCGGAAGGGCTGGCTGTGATGTGGCAGACAGGCCTCACGAATGGGATAGAGGAAAGCTTTTTGCATCTCTTCCTCTTTCCTGCCCTGCTGTTTTTGATTTTCGGAGGAGGACTGGAAAAAGTCAACAGAATTTGGGTTTGGAGAAGTAGTTGATGACCACGTTTCACAGCATGTCCTGATGGGCCAGACAGATGAGAGCTGGCCCAAACCGCAGCAGTGTAACTGGAACCACAGGGCCAGCCTTGGAGAGCAAGTCCTGCCGCAGTTCTGCTGAAAGAGGACAGGGAATAGTTGGGACAAATGCCCCACATGCAACTAAAGGGCAAGGGTGTGGGTTTCGGTGCCTAGGACCTAATTCCACACCGAATTAGACCTTAAGATGGTAGGTGGAGCTTTGTAAACCTGTTGGGCAAATTTATTGGTGCCCCGAGTTCAGCGCAGCACTGCCGAGGTTTGCAGAGCTGCAGTGAGGCTCGCTACATCCTGCTGCAAGGGCAAAGCTCTGGAGCAATTATCTGATTAACTTTTCCTTTGTTTCTTTGCCAGTCAAGAGAACAATCGGATGATGAGACCGAGGAGTCGGTGAAGTTTAAGAGGTTACACAAGCTGGTAAACTCCACTCGCAGAGTCAGAAAGAAACTAATTAGGGTGGAAGAAATGAAAAAACCCAGCACTGAAGGTAAAGAAGCCAACTCCACCCTGGTTATTCCAAGTGAACTCATTTGGGGTCAGTTTTTCAGGAGAAAGAGAATATGATTTCAAGTAGAAAATGGACTGAGTTTTGGCTGAGGCTGACAGAATTGTGTCTGCATGTTAGAAGGGCATGCTAATTCATGCATGTTAACTCAGCATGTTATGAAATGAAGGGTCCTGGTGTCAAGCAGGATGCTTAGCAATGTAAGTGTAACAAAGATGGGAAATGGCTAGTATATGACAAATTTTCTCAAGGTGTGGTATAGCTTTAATTATGAGCTTATGCCACTTTATGTAAACTTTTAAAACTTCTTAGCATTCTCTACCCTCCCAAAAGGACTGTGGTTCTTGCTCAATGCATTTAGTTCAAATTTGATATACTGTACATTCATCTTGAACAAACATCTAACAATCAAGGCACTTAATATCCCTTCAAATCTCTGAGGGACAATTTGTTCTTCCTATAAACAGTCTCAAGCCTCAATTCTAATGGAGCTTTAAGGACCTTCAATTCTAAGGGGATTTTTAAGAGCTGTATTGCTGGCTAAACCACTTGTCAGATGAAACAGTAATGTCATGTATTGTAATGAATAGTTAACCTTTGAAGTGTAATTATGACAGTTTAGATCTCATCCTTATTCATCTTTCTTGTTAATAATGTGCATTTGAAGCATCTTGTAAAGTTCTCCCAAAAAAGATGAAAGAATGAGATTTTTCTGCTTAGAAAATGACAATAAGTGAATTGGAAAAAATATTGGAAAGAATATGCCTTGTTTTAAAAAAAAGAGCAAATTACTTGTTAAAATGTCACATCTACATTGTAAGGAATTTCAAAATTTTAACATGTAGGTTTTAAAATTATCATTGTAGAGGCCTTTTTTGGTCATACATAAATAAAATCAAGCCATTCGGGGAACTGAATTTCCCCTTATTTGCAAAGGTAGAGGTTTCTTTTTATTATTATTGCTTTTTATTTTTGTTTGTTGTTGTTATTTATTGGTTTAAATCCCCTAGAATAAGACTAAAGGTGAGAGGGTTACTGTGGGAGGGTGGGGGTTAGAAGGTTTCATGTGGGTGTCTTTTTGCATGGCAATTCTATTTCCATTTGGGTGCAATGCTGATTTTTCATTTAGATGTTTTAATACCTGCCTGTCAGCCATGGTTTCCACAGTATAGATACCTTGATTTTACCTCTTACTGAAATCACACACAGGTTGTCAGTTGGTACTGTTAGGGAGAACCATATGGAATTGCCAACATTTAATCTTGAGGGCACATTTTAAAGCAAACCTCATGCACAGTTGCCAAAATCAAATCTCGAATATAACAGATAGGTGGGTCTCGTCCATAAATGAGATCAAATGGGTAAAGTACCTAGTACTGGGCCTATCGCCCACTAGCCCCTTCACACTGATAGTCGTGTTTTGGGGCAGCCTTTCCACTAGAACAACATTTTTTTAAATGCAGAAATATTCTAATCTGCATATTTAAGTCCGAATAAATCAATTCTACTATCTCTGAGAAGCATGGTTGAAAAGAAGAAAAATATACCAAAAGAGGTAATTGTAGGCTAAAAAGGAATAGCTGTATAGACATCTGGCTCTGAATTTCAATTCATCTGGGTGTGAGTTAGGTTTCACAGGTGGAAGATGGACTTATTGATCCCTAGTCCCAAGTTATGCTCTAGTGTCATGAGTCAGGGAGCTGGGGTGCTACTGACTGGGCATGTCCATGTCACCAGGAGAGTCTCCAGGTGTATGTGTAGCTTAGGGCATCTGCTTTGAGCTGTCCTCCAAAACCCTGCTAGACTGGAATTCCCTCCAACCCCTGCATAGTAGAACTCTCTGAGGTTCCTCATTGGCAAAAGAACTGGCATGTGGGAGAGGCTATCTTGGCCCCTGATCCTCATGCAAAACAGGAAAGATTAGTGCTCCTAATCACCCTCCTGCCCATGCCCTGGGACTTACACAAAGTTGATCCTTTGACTTCCTGCATGCCTGTCCCAGTACAAAGTTGTCTGCATCATAATGACCGTGTACTGAGAGCATTCTCTGCGCCAGGCACTTTGCTCGACACTTGAGGTTTTATGTTCCCTTTGAATATGTCACACTCAGGAGAGCCACAAGAGGCAGGCACTTACACCATCCTCATTTCACAAATGAGGAAACTGGGACACCAGGAGGCTCAGGAGTTAATCCAGGTCACCAGCCAGTCAGCAGAAGGCCCGGAATTGAGTCTAGGCAGCCTGACTCCCCTACAGTGTCCAGTGTCTCCCCTCCTCCCACCTCTCTTCCCCACAAGCTCCAGAGTCCTGGGAAAGCCAGGAGAATTATGGTTCTTCACCTAGTCTGTCCCCCAAAACTTGAGGTTTGAGTCCGTATCCCGGCACAGGTGACCTGGACCATATTTAATATAGGCCATGGCAGTGCCCTTCATCTGCCCATTGCTGCGTGTCTTTTCCCCAGAACTGACACCCTTTCCCTCGTGACTTCAGCTCGTGTATAATCCGATAATGGATCATCAGCTTTTGTACAGCACGTTTCAGCTTATAAAGCACCTCCATATCTCTCTTTTCGTTTAATGTTATCCTTACTATAGCTTCCTGGGGGATGTTATTAAAGGTGGGTGGGGAGGCATTATTATAGATGAGGAAACAGGGGTCAGAGAGATAAAGCCATTGCCCGAGGTCACGGAGCTGGTGAGTGGCAGTGCCAGGCCTGGAATCCAGAGCATAAATCTGGGTTCCTAGCATGAAGTCCTCCCTTATCCTACTTCCCTCCTGTTGTCAAAATAGCTTTTCCTTCCGTATTCCAGTCTCCGCTGAGTAAGATGGATAAAGGCCCTTGCAGGGAGCACATCACACCAAATGAGATGGAGTGAGCTGATCTTGCTTGTCATTCTTCCAGCAGCTTAGTTATATACTGCCCACCAGAGGAGCAGGGCAAAGTCATTCTCTAAGCCCAAGGAATCCAGGTCAAGGCTGGAATGTCAGGCACAGGCAGAAAAACCACACAACGTCAGGCCTGCGTGCAGCACAGGCTGAGGCAGCCACTTCAGGAGCACTTGCCACATTCTCTCCAAACTCCTTACCAGATGCCTCTTTCCAGAATCAGGAAATAAGAGCCAGATATGTTGTGGACATGCGTGCACCAGCTGGTTCCATACTCAAATGTGACACAGAATATTGGAATCTCTGATGACAACCCTAAACATAGAGTGTAGAAAATGTCCAGACCACTGCTGAGTGACAGATCCTTAGCAGATCCAGGGTAGGCCCACTTAACTTCCCTGAAACCCCTAAGACTGTGGGTCGATAAGGGCCTTTACACACATTCGTGGACACCTGGGCTGAATGAAAAGCCATGGCCATGCTCAACTTGTTTTATAGAGAAGTCCACTGTGGGGCTGCATCTGCCACCCCAAGTCTTGACTCAGTCACTTCTTCCTGGAAGATGAGAGTGGACTGTATGCAGGAGAGTGGACTGTATGCAGGAGAGCTTGCCATTTTTACTTCTAACATCATGAAGACCCTTGGTCTCCATTCCAAATTAGTCAGGTGTCTGAGGAAGGAGCAAGAAACTTCCATGATATTTGTGCACTGCCTCTGGCCAATCCCTGGACAATTCTTCAGTGGACTTTGGACTGGACCTAGTTTCGAGTCTCCTTCCCTCCTTCCCTCCACTCCTCATCACCATCTCCTCGAATTAAAGTTGATCTTGGGTCATATTTAATAGCAGCACTGTTTTTGTTTTGTTTTGTTTTCTGTACATTTGTAACTACAATTCCCATCGATTGGAAAAGTAAGCCATTTTTAGAATTTTAAAGTACCAAGAACATTTTGATCATCTTACCCACTTCTGAACTGAGCATTCCTCTCCCTTTATCTCTGACATTTAGCCATGCACTGGCACCCTGTCCCAGCTGGTAGACTTAGAGCCATACTTCTCTTCCAAGGAACTTTTTATTTTTTCCTTTTCACAGTTCAGCTGGTGGAAAGCTGCAGAGCTCAAAAGTTTCCTTATTAAAGGGACATAGCCAGTTAGGGTTACTACACCCACAGTGTGACCTATTTCTTTTCTCACATCTGTTCACATAACACATGCAGAAAAGAACTCGGTTGGCCTGCCAGCAAGTCCAAACCTTTCCACTGTGCTCCAGAGGGCTTGGCTCGCTACCTGGCTTCAGCAAGGGCTTCGAGAGCTGGAATCCTTGAGACAGAGTGGAACACTCGATTGAGCTGCTTGCGTGTCAAGGCCCTTAAATGCCCTTGCTCCTTCCCCTTGGGGCCTGAGTTGATGGAAATATCTGGCTGGGTTCACCCAGTTCCCTAACTGTGTTTGGCCTGTCAACTGGAGACCATTTGTCAGTCACATTTGCAAGATACAACCCTTTATGGTGTTTCCTCACCCAAACTCTCCTAGAGATTTAATCACTTAAATGGCATATGTACCCATAAAAAAATCACTGTCAGCCACGTGGCATTCATGACACTCACACTCCAGCTATAAAAAGCTACCAGAGCCAACATAAAACACAGCCTTTCAGAAGCGTGGAGGATTCTGATTCCTAGCTTCTGCTGATTGCACTTATACTGGAGAGGTGTTTATCTTGAAATGTTAAGGTATATTGTGATCCTGACTGGCTTAGATTTTGCAGTTGGCATTTTTAATAGGTCTGTGGAGGTGTTTGGTTTACAAAGATATTTAAAGAAGGAGAAGAAAACACGTTGGAAACCTTTTAACATTAAGCTTGTGTGAAACTGACATTTCCATAGTTGGATTATTTTCTTTCTCATGTACATACTTAAGTGGGAGCCAAGTTTCTGAAGAGTGTGTTTGGTTTACAAAGATATTTAAAGAAGGAGAAGAAAACACGTTGGAAACCTTTTAACATTAAGCTTGTGTGAAACTGACCATTTGCATAGTTGGATTATTTTCTTTCTCATGTACATACTTAAGTGGGAGCCAAGTTTCTGAAGAGTTATGATCTGGAGCGGGGGAGGTCACCGTGGTTTCTGTGTGGACTTGCTTATTTGTTGCAGGGTCGGGGGGCGTAAAGAAAGATGTTCACGGGAGACCTTGTGTTGGTTCCCTTCCAGGTGGGGAGGAGCAGGTGTTGGAGAATTCCCCGGTCCTGGATGAAAGGTCTGCCCTTTACTCTGGAGTGCACAAGAAGCCATTTTTCTTTGATGGCTCTCCTGAGAAACCTCCCGATGACTCAGACTCCACATCTCCATCATCTAGCAGCCTGGAC